TGAGAGGGAGCGTTAGGACTTAGGAGAAGGGTCACTTGTAGCTTGTAGAACAACAACCAAAATATAAAGGAAATAGAGACCAGGAACAAAAATGAAAAAGACAACATGGAACAAAGGACTACAACCAGATAAATAAAAGTTAAAAAAACAATTGAAAAAATATTTGGGCGAAGCCCTTACTTACAAGAATTTGTACGTACATCTGGGCATGACTGGGAGGTGCAGTCAGGAGGCGGAGCCCCTCAATATTTTTAATTCTTTCTAGTATTTATTAATGTGATTATGAACTAGCCAGCATAGACTGCAGCTAGAATAACAAACACACTAGCTATTACCTGCCAAGAAGAGAGAATAGGCATGTGTACATAAAAGAAGAGGGTCGATTCATGCACTTACTAATAAAGCAATATTGAAAGCATTATTTCCTCCACTGTATCTAACAACAAATGAAACCAAAGGGAAGATAAAATTAATGGAATATTAATTATGATAAAATATAATAGAAATGGAAGTGAGCTAACTTGTGCATCATTGGTAGGTATAGCCTGATAGGACAGTCTAAGATATGGAGACTGAATGTGACCACGACTGGTTAACTGTATACTGAAAATGTACAATGATACATGTAAATTATATTAGCCTAACAATGTCCTTATGAGTTATGACATACACAAAAGTTTAATAAGATCATATGGGCTGTTATAGTACTTTGTAGTTCATCAAAATGGCTAGGGCAGAATTCTATGCATATTATACATGTACATGTACTTAAATTTATGTTGTACTTTGAAACTAATTCCGTTCAAAATTGAATTTTTATAAGTTGCTCAAAATATCAGGTCAAAGACCATCTGTGGCCAAATTTCATCAAAAATGGCAAGGAAAGAACTCTCTATTATAATAATTTTTTTCTGGTGCATACACATGCTTTTATGTTGTTTAGAAAGTTTATGCTAATTAAAATTGGTTTTTTTAATAAATTTTTTTTAAGTTGCTCAAAAATTGGACCAAAGTCCTTGTACTACTATAGACAAAATATTTGGCCAAATCCACCATAAATGAAAAGGAGAGAATTCTCCATTTTAATAATTGGACTCGCTGTGTAGGTGGTATTAGGTACCATATAGCGGGTTTTTTTCGAGGATAAAAAATTTTGCAGATTTTTTCATAATTCGCGAAATTAAATTCCTTGAAAATCAATTTAATACGGTACAAGATGACAGATTAGTGAAAATTCGCGAAAATTATTCCGCAAACTTCCGGATATGGGTCATTCGCGAAATTTATTATCCTCGAAAAAAACCCGCTATACGGTAGTTTGGTTGTCTGTCTATCATTCATTCTGTCTATTTTTAATGTCTTTTTAAAAATATATAACTTTAAAACCACATACTCTAGGCTTATAGGTCAGTCTCTACAGCTAGTAAATCTTTCTTTATCATCTAATAATGTCTAAAGAGCAGCGCCAGGGAGAAGAAGTTTACAAAGTAACAAAATTTGATTAAAAATACAGCAAATGTGCTGACACTTTCGACATTGATAAAATCATTTTCCAGTAGATTATTAATAACCTTCTATTTCATTAATATGCGTAGAATTTCTTAACTCTTACTTGGTAGCGACTTATGAGCCTTCAAACTTCATCCCGGCTAACTTTGAGAAGGGCTGGAGCGGAATTATGGTAGTAGGCTAGAGGTACTAAACTCTTTCAACTCACTCACATCTATCTAGGCAACAGTATTGTGCCATCTTTTCTATCATAAGTCCCTCATGAGAAGAAACAACTTAAGCTTCTTCAGTCACATATCATGCTAAGGCTATTTCATTGGCAAAGAAGACACACCTCTATTAATAATTGGCAATTTTTACATGTTTGCATTAAGAATCTTAGTTGCTTGTTTGCTGTCTTATGCATATTGCCTTAAGTAATCAAGAAAATGGTATCTGTGCCATCATAATAGCTGTTATTTTTATAGCTATTTTGACTTGATTCGATGCAAAACAAGGACTATTCAAGTAAAAAAATCATGGTCTTTATCTCTATAATGCTACATGTACATGATAAAAATGAAACCCATGATTCATTACTTTTAATAGTGCATAAATGCAAGAGCAACTACAGTGAGTCCAAGCACTGTAGGTGTCTTGTTTTATAGATGCTTTTATGTTGTATAAAAACTCTGAGCTGATTGCAAATTCAAAATTGAATTTTTGGGGAATTTAAAGTTTAAGTTAATTCCAGACTTACTTGATTTCAGTGGATTCAAGATATGATGGAGTGCCAGTGACTGACTGGTGGGTATAGAAACATCTCACAAACTGCCACTGAGAGCTATCATCACCTAAAATAAACACAATCAATAAACACTACATGTAATGAAAGTAAATAATTATAACCTACATGTATTAACTATATACTGCCTATTACTACATTGATAGGATAGTGTACATAATAATAATTATTATTATTGTATCAACACACTTTCATTTACACATACCTTCATTAACAAGTACACCATTATTGTGATGATAACCACTGATTAAGACTGGAATGGGCACCAACGTATAACCATCTTTGATATCTTATGTAACATATTATAATTAAGGTACATATAATTCAATACATATACATGTACCCTCTAAATTGAGGCCATAAAACTAGTTGAGTATAAGTACTGTCTCTTAGGATACATAATTATATCATAGAATATACCTTAGGGTGGGTATTAATTGAGACACTTAATTTTAGCGTTTAGTGAGTGCATAGATGGTGAGTGTACTAAAAAACACTGATTCAACCAGCCGCTAATAAAATAGTTGTTATGTTCCTGTGTAAACAAGTACATGTACACAAGATAGGCAAGATCTGTAACAAGATTAAATCAGAGTTTCATCAGTGATTTTCTTGCTATTTTCACTAATACTACATTTCGCTAAATCAGGGTCCCTTTGAAAATGCTAAAATTTAAGAGCACAATTAATACCCATTCTAAGGTAGGGCTAGAGCCATCGGTCATAAGAGCAATGGGGTCAAGAGAACACTGTATTTCATAAAAACATTACTGGGAAGCCTACAATGAATACTATTACATGAATGCATGCTTACTGATGTAGAAAAAACAGTATTAATGGCTATGTTAGTTAAATACTGCTGAGCACCAAACTGAGCATAATATACTTCAGGGACTAGATTAGGCCTACATAAGATAAAGAGAAAGATGAGGAGGAGGAGGGTACAATATTTACAAACTAACGAAGTTGATGAAAGACATCTAATATCTTGACAAGATTGATCAGTCATGCTATAACTTTGAAGCACACACAAATTGATCAACAACTGGCAGGCACTCAAACTACCATTCTAGAGGAATTCAAATAAATTAGAATGAAACCAGACACTCAATACGTATGTTGCATAGAGCAAGGGAAGAGCTGAAATTAGAATAAAATGGAAAGGGAGTAGAAGTAGGAGGAGTGAGTGGTTGAGTGAAGCAGACTCCATTAGTGAATGAGAGGCAGTTGGAGCAATTACTGATACCACAGGGATACAGAGCTTCTTGCTAGAGTCAGCAATCGTGCTAGCTGGACATGTTTGGCACCTTCTGTCTCCAGTTGATGAACGATTGATGGGAATTGTGTCAACTACAATAGGTAAAGAATTAAACCAATACAATGATATGTAATGTCAATTGTCAAATGTTTATCTTTTTTAATTGAGTGGAGCTATAGTTAGAAAAGATGCATGAACATACAAGTAGGTGTGAATTACAAGTGTAGTTTCACAAATATATTTCAAAAACTCCTTTCACTCTCCCTCTCCTGGGTCCCTCTCTTTTACTTACCAAATATAGAAGTCTGATCCTCACAGCCAGTGCAAGTCCCTCCAGTGTATATCAATGGAGACAGACAAGTGAGGCAATACAAACCATCATCAGATCTAACCTAGTTATAGGTACATGTACATGTAATACAGTTACAGTATAACACATTCATATAACATGTTATATGTATCATGGTTTCTCACTGTGTATCAGACTATCAGTATAATAATAAGACTTTTGCCCCTCAATGTCTGTCCTTGGCTTTGCCTCAGGCAGATATCTCAGGGCTCAGGTTTTACATTACTAATAGTCTAATACATAACTCAAAACTAAGATTTATATATTACATGTAAGTCCGCATAATGCTTAAGCCGTGTACATGTACATGTACATGTAACTCAACCCATTTCATCGGTTGCACAAAACAAAATGGTAAGATCAACCTGAGGATGGTCTTATGTTGCGTTCTCTATAACTGATGCAATGGGAGGAGTTAAGTATATTATAAACCTAGCTTAAACAATCCCAATCCTAAAAATACCACTATGCTTATGCTACTGCTACATAAATATTTGGTGCTGACAAAGTGTACAAATTATGCTCCTGCTTACTGAGCTGAGACTAGGGCAGGCCTCACAAGTGACTGGCCCAATGTTAGAGGTTTGTCTGTATCCAGTCACACAGTTACAGGATAATCCTATCATTATTATAAGTATAGGCACAGCCAATAAATTAACACTAACCATTCATTGCTTGAAGTGATAGAGTTGGGTGGGCAAGAGATATACATACAGGAGAGGTTTCCAGGGTAGAAGTACACTGAGTATCATGGCTACAGGATTGAGGTGTGTTGAAGTCTATTAGAAATACATTAGACTGAGGACTACTTATAAAATCCTTTTTACTCCAGTGCCGCCATTTGTAAGACGTTCAGGCGTCGACACTCGACAGGAGATCATACAGGCGCGGCGTTGATACAGGTGTTGGAGGGTGGTTGGACCCCCCTTCTATTTGGACCGGGGGTCCAAGCGCTCGCGAGTAGTTGGACCCCCGGTCCATACACTCCCTGAGCGCTTGGACACTCTGTTTGGACTCCCTTGGACCCCTCGCCCAGTCGCCCTTAACGTTTGGACCCCCTTCATGCCGTTTGACGCGCGCTGGCAAGACACATGCTGATACCTCACAGCGGTAGCCATGATCATAACAGTGCCCTCTTGTCACCATAGATGCTTCTTAAAAGAGCAAAATTAAATTGCTGCAGCT